TCACTGCCCACTTTTTAGGTATTTACTTAATATCACAGATAACACATAATCCAGATGGCCATTGCTTACGGAACAGCATGTTTTCGATGAGACAGTTCCCTATTAATGACACAGAGGGCGCCTATAGCCAAATCTAATAATATTTTTAAAACGAACGAATTTCGAGCCACACCACGGCCACGCGATGTGAAGCGACGTAGCCGGTTGTTCATATTTATAAGCAAATTCCCGGTCAAACCCAGGGAAAATGTATATTCGGACTTTAATACTATACAATTGGATATGAAAATACTAGCCGCAGTGGATGTTTGAAAGTCAGAATTTCTAGATGAAATGCTATTTATAGCCATGAAATTTATAATTTAGATTTTATTTTTATTATTTGTCTCTTAATATTCATTAGCTGAAAATAAGGGTAAAGGTTATCTATATAGTAATAAATAAAATTTGGCACATAGGTTCCTTAAGTGATGTAAATGAGCACTAAGAAGGGATTTTTTGAAAATTCGACCACTAAGGGGGTGAAATTAGGGATGAAAAGCTGCATAAAAATTTGTTAAAATCTGGTTTAAGAGTATGAAATTTTTCACGAGTGCTCCTTGACTGACGTAATTGAACACTAAGGGGCAATTTTTGGAAATTCGCTCGTTAAGGGGGTGATATGGGGGGTACTTTTGTATACAAAAAAAGCATGTCCTAGGACTACGAAATTTTGCACAGAGGTGCCTTAAGTAGCGTAACTTAACAGTTCGATTATACAAAGCGATTTTAGGAAATTCTTCTACTAAGGGGTGAAACTGGGGGTGAAATTTTGCATACTTTTTTAAAATTAGTCCGAGGAGTTTGAAATTTGGAAATTGTTAATTAAGTGACGAAAGTGAGTACTCAGAAGCAAATTTTGGACATTCATCCCCTAAGAAATAAGGGATGAAAATTGGTATAAAAATTTGTTAAAATCGGTTTTAGAAGTATGAATTCTGCGTAGACGTTCCTTATGTAACTTAATTTAGCACTAAGAGGCAATTTTAGGAAATTTTCCCTCTAAGGGGGTGAAATGAAGGGTGAACGTTCTGAAAAAAAATCTGTCCTAGAAGTATGAAAATTTGCACAGAGGTTCATCAAGTGATGAAAGTTATACTCAGAAGCGAATTTTGGACATTCATCCCTTAAGAAATAAGGGATGAAAATATGTACAAAAATTTGTTAAAATCGGTTTTAGAAGTATAAAATTGTTCGCAGACGTTCCTTATATAAGGTAATTTAGCACTAAGAAGCAATTTTTCGAAATTTTCCCTCTAAGGGGGTGAAATGAGGGGTGAACTTTCTGAAAAAAATCTGTCCTAGAAGTATGAAAATTTGCACAGAGGTTCCTCAAGTGATGAAAGTGAGTACTCAGAAGCGAATTTTAGGCATTCGCCCCATAAGAATTAAGGGATGAAAATTTGTACAAAAATTCATTAAAATCGGTTTTGGAAGTATGAAATTTTGCGCAGACGTTCCTTATGTAACGTAATTTAGCACTCAGGAACAATTTTTGGAAATTCGCCCTCTAACGGGGTGAAATGAGGTGTGGACGTTCTGAAAAAAAATTGCTTGTTATTACTAAATTACGTTACATAAGGAACAAACAGAATTTCATACTTCTAAACCCGATTTTAACAAATGTTTGTACAAATTTTCATCCCTTATTTCACTCTCTTAAGAGATGAATGTCCAAAATCCACCTGTACAAAATTCCACACTCGTAGGACTGTTAGTTTTAACTAACAATTTATTAAAGTGCAACTATATAAAAATTATACAGGGTGGCGCCTCTCATATGACTCGGAGGCTCCAAGGAGAACGACCAATTCGTATTGAAATGAAATTTTGTGATCATATGTAAGTTAATTCTGCGTACGTTTTAAAAATATAGAGAGTTCTACAGGGTGTCCCCAAAAAAAGTTACACATCAAATTTGTATTTTTTTGTAAGGGAATACCCCCTTTATTAATTAATTTTTAGATTCTAAGAGAAAAATAAAGGTGTGTTTTATTAGGGAAGTATATGACTGAAATGTAAGGTTTTAGACTTACTTAAGATTTTGAAGAACAATTTTTAAATTTCAAGAAAAACTACCTAAATTGGAATTTACTCTATTGCACTTTAATCAAATTAAAACCTGACCCATAAAGTTATACAGGGTGGGGCAAAATTAATGTTGAACATTGGTATAACCTGTATAACTCCTTTAATACCCACCCTGTATAAATCCTTTAGTTTAATTGAATCACCCAGAATATTATTCCGATATTCAATGGGAAATTCATGTCACTTCCAAATACTATTAAGGTTGCCGGCCTACCCCTCAAACAAAGATTTTCCTAGATATTTTCATTTCTATGATTTAGTGTGAATAGATCTTTATTATTTGATAAAATCTAGGGTGGCTGTGATATGTCTGACGTTACTTCAACATAGCTGTCAAATTAGTTCAACTTTAGCAACTAGTTATTATTTTGTGTCAGTTCGTCAGTTGAAACAAAAAAAAATCTAAGAAATTTTCCGAAAATAGAAACTTATCCTACATCAGAAAGAATTGATATGATTCTACTTTTAGATTCAAATTTTTGTTATATTTTATATTTATATCTAATTTTAATTCTGTGATAATTAATATATGTTTTAAACGTATGTTTTTATTACAGTATTTTATACTACATCCTTTAATTTTTGATAAATTAACACAGCCACCTAGATTTTTTTCAAATAATAAAGATCTACTGACGCAAAATCATAAAAATGAAAGTATCTAGGAAAATCTTTGTTAGAGGGGTAGGCAACCTTAATAATATTTTGAAGATATATGAATTCCCCATTGAACACGGAAATAATATACTGGGTGTTCCATTTAAAATAAAGGAGTAACTTGCTTTCAAAGTGATAAATGTTCAATATAAGTTTGTCCCACCCTGTATAACTTTTCCTGTCACATTTTAATTTGGTTTAACATATTATGGTTATTGTAACTAAATATCAGGCTATACAGGATAAATTACAATATAGATAGCTGTTATTGAAATTTAAATTTTATTCTTCATTTTCACAAAATGTGAAATATGTCAAAATCCTTACATTCTAGGCACATGCTTCTTTAATAAAACACACCTTTATTTTTTCCTGGAATCCAAAAATCAATTAATATATAGGGTATTCCATTACAAAAACAACTTTAATGTATAACTTTTGGGGGACACCCTGTATAACTATATATTTTTATAAAATGCTTTCAATTAATCTATATATGCTTCATTTCAAGCCCACTCCACGCCGTTTTTTTTTTCGATCGTATGGTATATTCAATAATTGCATTACTTATAATTTATAACAGTTTATGTTCACTGATTCATTTATAATTTATATCCACTTAATTACTTGATTTATCCATCATAAACTTTGCATAGATAAAGAAATAACGATGGACAATTCTTAATGTGTTAAATTATACCGTATGATCCAAAAAAAGGCGTCCGATTGGCTTGGAAATGATGGTCGATGACATTCCCATATAATTTTACATATCAAATGACAGCGATCTTCATTTCATAGCCATATCGCTGACGCCGTTTTTTTCGATCATACGGTATATGGTAAAGCCATCGATCACCATTTCTAAGGTAACTTAACGCCGTATTTTTACATACAAAATGTGCAAAAAAATTCTATATAAATGAACTCACCACAATTTTCTATCCACTTTGTACATAAATTAGGATCTCTTGACGCAGGAAACTTAAACATATGTACACCTGATTTCCGAGAAATCCCACAATTATAAAATTGGCACTTATTACCAGACATTTTAATAATAATTTTATTATCACTAATCACACACAGTTATAATCAAAGACAGTCAAAGGTAAATTACCCGCCTTTTAAAATATCCGTTAAAAACAAAAGACAGTAACGACATATCTAAATCTTCTATCTTTGTCGCATATGGTTCGTTCCTTTATTATTCCGTGATAAGGGAAGGAATAGAGATTTTCTATGATAAGTGGTAAAGCTAGGTTTTCATATGTACAAATTTGAAAAACTTTCCAGGAAATTCGGTCATATTATTTTCATTAATAAATTGTTTATCATAAATAAATTTATTAAAAAAGTTTTTGAACGAATATTCAAATTCTAAACGTTTCAATTAACAAAAAAATTGGCCAAGTGCGAGTCGGACTCGCGCACGAAGGGTTCATTATCATTGAATGTACCATTCACACATTATCTATACAACATCAGACATTATATTATTGTAAACTTTTTTTCCGATTTAGCTGAAATTTTGAATGCGCTTGTAAGTAATTTAAAAAAAATGAAGAAACACATTGCTAAAAATTGTATTAATCAATAATAAATAAGTAAAAATAAATATGTAAAAATAAAAAAAAAGATTAAGAAACAGTCACCTTGCCTACGATTCGAACCTGCCTCACTACGTCTCACCGCCTTCAAATCCTAACGCCTTTAACCACACGGCCACTCGAGGACTTGAATATTCTTTGTAAAATTCTTACTTAAACGATAATGTTTAGTGAAAGTACTTTTTTATTTATAAACATTTATTTAATTCTGTTTTTAGTATTTGTTCTTATAGCGGCAACATAGATACATTAATTATCTGTAAAATTTTCAACTGTCTAGCTATAAAGTTAGTTAATAAGAATTAATAGGTGTAGCATATTTCAACATCATTCATGGTTTTAAAAAGATCAAAAAATATGCATGTGTGTTTATAGTATAAATGAATTGCTCCTTACGTTAGTTCTTATTGATATAATAGCAAAAAGTATAAAGTATAAGCGCAATTTTATTAAAATATGTTATTCTAAGTTAGAATAACATAGAGTTAAAAAATATGTGTTACAATTTCTAACACATATTTTTTTTTAACTCTAATGTTCTAAATTAATTGTTCAAAATATAATTGTTATTTTTTTTCCTAGGAAAGATAAAACTTCATTAATTTTCATAAATAAATTTATTTCTATTAAATTTTATAGAGCAATATGTACTACAGTTTTATTTCACATTTTGTAATACTGCTTCGGTGCGGTGCCCCATTGCTATCTGTGAGTTCATTCAAATTATGAAAAATCACTACTGATCTAGAAGATAAAATGTACCTAAGTACCATAATATTATAATCAAAAATTACTAATTTTGTAAATTATTACCTATAATGGTTAGATGAGATGCATGTAAACTTCTTTAGGCTGGTTTCTTAAAGTTAGGTGATTAATTATCTTCGCATCGTCATAGGCTCTAATCAATTGTAGATTATTCTTCAATCAACCTGAAATATGTAATATTATTTACTTTATATCTATGAAAAATTATCATTTTCTTTATGAAAATTTTGAGTTTAAATTTAAATGTGATTAGAATAAATATACGTCACTAATTAACATTTTTTTATCACAGGTAATATTCTATATTACTTTATGTTTACTTTTGTGAAAATATTACTTACCTATAATATTTAAACGAGTTCCTGAATGTACAATTTTACTTGTTTATCGCGATGCCGAGTTCTGAATCTTGTATTGGTTGTCTAAAACTGTTTGATTATGCTTAGTTATATTGTATCCTATATTTTATTAAACAAACTCAAAATAATGTTTATAATTACCTTCATCAGCCTTTATACCATTAAAAGTCATTATTATCAGTTATTATTATGTAGTATGTAGTTATTTCTTTGAGTTATTTGTTGTTGTTTGTTTTCAAAGATCATTTTTGAGGTTAATATCATATGAAACTTTTCGTAATTAGGCAACTGGTAAATGACGTGTGACGATAAATTAATAAAATAATAATTTACGTATTAAGTTAAATATTTATATATTAATTTAACATCCGGTATTACCTAACATCCATATCTATTTCATGTTTATAAATTACATAATTTTTAATTTTATATATTCATAATGAAATGAAATATATTTCGATATAACGTTTGGCAACCACGCAACTGAAGTGCAAGCGACATCTGTGCAAGAGAAGCAAAACCTCCCAAAAAAGTTAGAAAAGGAATCTAAAAATTTCAGATTATTCAAACGTCACTCCAATATTTTTCCAAATTGGAGTGAAATTGGGGTGACAATTTTTAACACGTAAGGAGCCATCTGGATTATGTGTTATCTGTGTTAATATGTACAATAATCAGTAAAAAGAGTAATTAAACATGCAATTCACATTAAAAAACGTAGATATTAATCAATTAGAGACAAAACAGCATAACCGGCAGAATTAATTCAAACTGATTCAAACTAAGCCAAATTCCCAAATAATGCAATTCTGCATTTTCAGCCTGTCGCCTAAAATCTCTCGGGCTGATCGGGAACTGATCGGGAAGTGATACATATTTTTAACGAACGGCTTTTAAAGTTCAAATTTACATTTGAGGCTCACCTCAATACGGTCTTTTTACGCGCTGCTACTCCATACATTTTATCTCTCTTCAACTAAAGGTTTTGCCTATGCTTTTTCTTTTCATTCTATAGAGTTAAGATTCCAGTGAACGCTGTCGCTCTGTCAGTGCGATATACCACAATACGCTAGACAAGGAAAGACGAGAGGCAAACCTCTGCACATATACTTCTTAAAGAACAAATGAGATGGATATACATCGTCGAGTTTGTCGCATTTGGGAAAGGAAGCGCGTTTAAAGGAATACCATCGACGTAATTTATTGTAGAATGACGGTTAAAAAATACAATTATTATTGATGCAAATAGGAAAAAAAATAAAATTGTGATTAAAGATGTATCGATTAATACGTGTAATTTTTCAAATGTATTGATGAGGCACTGCCTCATCTGCCTCATAGGACAAGCCGCCCCTGTCTACAGCAGATAAGAACATAGAACCTTTTCTAATGCATGCAGCATGAAACAGAACTATTTTGTGGCAAAAAACGAATTTTGGAGAATTTAGCACTTAGACCCTTTGGGAATACCACGCTTCAATAAATTCATGTATTATTCGAAAAAAAAAATAGTTATCGTATACGCATTTCCCAGCAAAGTGAGTAAATTGAAACTAGGATTACCGCAACTAAATACACATTTTCGGTTGGTATCAAACATCAGTCTTCTACTTCCTCCTCTCGAATACATGGTGAATTTTAACTAAGTGCAAATATTTTTAGGTATGGTCTATTTCGATCACAGGAACACACCTATGTATGTGTTTTTTTGCGCGAAAAAAAAATTGATAAGTATATTTTGAAATTTGTTTGGAAAATTTTTAAATTTTCAGGTAAAAAACATAATATGTGTATTGTGTTGACGACGCTATAATGGGGGATTTGAGAACTCGTGGGAATTTTTGACCGATCCATAATAGCGTAATATCGAAAAAAATCGACGTCAAAGACAGCTGGGGATTGATAATCTTTTTTGAAGCCGTTTTTTTTCGATCGTATGAGCGGAACTTTTGATTATAAAATGACACCCTAGGCATTTTTTTACTTTGTTAAGACTTTGTTCGATAGAAACACATCGCACCCTTCTCTTCCCTTAGTATTTCTTCCTCCGACTATCAGAGGCACCCTTGTATAATAAAATTGAAATGTATTATAAGTTGCCTATCTATTTAATATTATAAGTCTTTTATCTATGATAGAAAATGACACTCTTAATAGAATGACATATCATCATATATCAACTTTTGACATTTTCGCATGTGATTTATTTGAAATTATAACTTGCGGTTCGTAACGAAAATTTGACTCGAAATACCAAGTGTGTGGTACCAAATTATTTGCAAAAAAAATACTTTTTCCAAATATGCTAATGAACCACCCTTGTTCCATTTGAAAAAATTATGATATGATTAAAAATACGATTTGGGCATCTTTTAACCGACCAGGACAAGACACGAAAAACATAAGACGATCAGGTCTAATTTTCCAATGCTCCTTGATTAAAAATTAGTGTTTTTAATACAGCCATGGCATTCTAGAATGAAACTTAAAATACGATTTTTTTAAGCGAAAATATGTTTTCTAAATTTCTATTCAGAATGTCATTTTCTATAGAATAAAGTAAAAATATACCGAGGGTGCCCTTTAAAAATCAAAAGTTGTAGTCATTTCCCTGTGAAACAGGAAGTAACCAAAAACTGAATACGTCAATCAATCCTAATTTATGTCATATACTAACATACCAAATCTCGTTTTTTCATATGAAAAAATAAAAAAGTTATAGGGGTTAGCCACTTTTGAGAGCCACCCGGTATATTAATACATTTAGACATTAAATATGGTTCTTAGCCGAAGAAAGCAAGAAGTAATACCACTGAAACATATATGGCATTATCAAATTTCAGGGTATAATCGTAAGATTTGAATTAGGTTTCATATAGCTTATAGGAAAGTATCGGTTGTTGAAGTATGTTGATACCTATCCATCGCATTAAATGAATCTCAGTTCTCTTAAGTTTCTTTTTTATTCATTTTATAATTTTAGAACCGCAAAAATCTGACAATGTTATTAACTAATTAATTATTGTTTGGTTTATTATAGAATAGAACTCTTTTTTTATAGAATTTTAAATTAAAATAAATAATCGTACGATGTCGTAATTTATGTATTAGATGTCTCTTTCACACAATGTTCATATTATTTTAGGTCAAAATATTATGATTTTTTATTATTTAGTTTGTTATTTTTAAGTTTCCAAATGCCACAATATGATATACAAATCTTTTACATACAAAAATATCTTATAAATAGTTCCCAAAGCTGGAAAATATGATTTGCTGTTTTTTTGCAACCATTTTCTATAGTATAAATTACGAAGGTTTTTTCATGTGGATATTTGACATGGTACATTTACACATATTATGTGCGCTATTCAAACAACATTTAAAAAATTTAAAAAAAATAATTTATTACAGTTAAGTCTGGCTTTATTTGACATGTTCGGAGCTTCTTATTTTTATTTTATTTGATCATATTGGAATCAATTACTTGTTAATAGATATAGAAATTATTTACATTTCCTTTTATTTAAATTAATATTTTATTTTTATCGTTTAAGGGCAAAACGCTGGACAAGCAAGATCTGATGTCCCTCAAACCAGCTCCCAAGATGAGACCGAAGGGCAGTACCCGACCTCGACCCAAAACCATACACATTGACAGCGGGTCTGTGCAGTTGGCCGAAGGTATGTCAAGAAGTAGAGGTACAAAAGGTTCGACTTCAAATCTTACAGGTATGTGTTTACTAAAAATTTTTGTTCAAAATTGTATAGAAGCATTTTTTATTAATTTGTATATATTTTCTGTACGACCGACGGGAGGGTCTCTGACAGTGACAGTTATGTCTGTCTTTTTAATTTACATGTAAATTTTCTTTTTGTTATTTTTTTGTATGTTGTCTGTCGAGATCTTTCCTGAAGCGTTGGACAGACTATATTATATATTTTAGCATGGTTTTTATCAGTACAATATTTTTTTAATACAGTCATTGATGTACACACATAGAGACACTGTACAGTAATTTAAAAATATTTACTTTTTTTTAATCCCCATAAATTCTGCATGAAAAAAACTTTATGATTCCGTAGCATAGATTTTGCTTTAAAAATCAAATCAAATAATATTTCGGGAAAAAAACCTAAAGCCGTTCTAAATAATTTAGCTAATATTTTTAGGAAATACAACTAATAAAAAGTTAAATGAGTAAATATTTGTCTCTTTTAATTTTATATGTTCATAAAATTTAATTTTTTACTTTAACCCACTTTCTTATATGATTTATCACACACACTATAAAACGACTCGTTTCCGACTCGAAAAGTTTAGAAAAATTCTCTGTTTTAATTACACTAAAATATATATGTAGATCAATACGCTAAATTGTATTAATTTGTTATAAAGTCTATACTACAGGTAAAAATAAAATGCGTAAATTCTCCAAAAATAACATTTTTAAATTGGTAATATACTAAATTGAATATAAGAATATAAAATCAATTAAATGCATTGGAGGAAATAACAATGTGCTCTCATCTATTTAGACTTTCTGATAATTGTTTATACATTTGATTGTTGTATAAAACATTTTTGGATAAAAATTACTGTATTAAATCATAAATTATAGAAATAATATATTTTGAATATTTCCCAGTAACGTCATTAATTTAGTAAAACAGTATAGTCGTCAATAAAAATAACTAGGTTATGAATTCATATTTTTCTGTAAAAATTTTGATCCGCTTTACTTTCCGATCTTTCACTAAAAATGTATGTTGACTGTTATACGAGGCATGTTTTTTAAGTAAGTACCGTTTTGGAATTAAAAAAAACGTGCAAAGATATCGCAATAATTTTATTTTTACATAAAAGCCTGTACCTTAATCTACTTTTCTACATAATTTCCGTGAATATTGAGGCACTTGTCATAACGTGGCACCAGTTTTTCAATACCCTCCTCATAAAATTCTGCCGCCTGACTGGTTAACCTCTGTATCACAACTGTTTTGACTTCGTTATCGTCTTGAAGACGCTGACCGCCCAGGTGTTTCTTCAAGTGCAGGCTGACCGCCCAGGTAGTCACTGGGCGCCAGATCAGGGCTGTATGGAGGATGATCTAGAGTTTCCGATTTAAAAGATTTGATGAGATCTTTGGTCCGATTAGCCACATGTGGACGGGCATTGTCATGCAGCAAAACAATACCCTTACTCAACTTGCCACGTCTTTTGTTTTGGATTGCACGGCGCAAATTGTTCAATGTCTCACAATAAGATGCTGCATTGATTGTCTCATTACGAGGCAGAAACTCCACTAGCAATACTCCTTTTCTATTCCAAAAAACTGTGCACATGATTTTCCGGGCAGAAATTATTTGCTTAAACTTCACTGTTTTGGGTGATGATGAATGTCGCCATTCCATGGACTGTTGTTTCGATTCTGGTGTGACGTAGGCCACCCATGTTTCGTCACCAGTAACAATTTTGTCTAAAAAATCTTCACCTTCATTGTGGTACTGCTCAAGGAAAGTCAAGGCACTGCCTAAACGTTGGGTTTTGTGCAAATCCGTCAACATTTTCGGAACCCAACGTGAACACAATTTCCGGTAATTCAAGTTCTCGGTCACAATGCGATACAAAACACTACGAGAACATTGAGGAAAGTAGTCGCACAATGATGAATTTGCAAAGCGTCTGTTTTCTTTCACCTTTTCGTCCACTTTCTGCACCAAATCTTCATTAACGACCGAAGGACGCCCACTCCGTTCTTCATCATGCACATTTGTACGGCCATCTTTAAATGCTCTCACCCATTTCCTTACCATTCCATCACTCATAATGTTTTGTCCGTAAACTTCACAGATCTCACGATGAATATCGATCGGTTTTACGCCTTTAGCACTAAGAAATCGTATGACAGTCCGTACTTCACAATCGGCGGGGCTCACGATTGTCGGAGGCATCTTAAACACTCAATAAACAACGTATATAATGAAGAATCAGACTGTACTGGCGTCTGTGCATAGACAAGAGATGTAGGTAACCAGCGCGCATGCGCGGAACGCCGACCGTAGCGCTGCAGCGGCGGAATCGCAAAACGGTACTTACTTAAAAAACATGCCTCGTATCACAGATTAGGTATACCACAGATAAAAATCTTGTCTCTAATTCATGGTACGAAAATTGTTTTTTATGACGCTGACCAAACGAGTAAAATTTCCTGTGCGCAAAAATAAATTCGCGTTTAAACAAGGTAATAACTGGGCCGGTCAGGCGCTGTGCACAATAATTTTAGAGGCCATAAGTGGACGTGCTATGTGCGCAAATTAGTAACCTAACTAGAGCGCGACTCCGAAAACTGGAACCATGAAAAACAATGCTTTTGACGATAAGCTTATAATCTGTATAACCTGTGGTATGACTAAAGCAATGACTAAAGCATATAAGGACATGTAACGCCCATATACGGGCTGCACCAGAATTTGTGCCCTTAGACGCCATTTTTTTGATGGCGATGAATGAGTCATCAGCGACAATTTTAGCGACTTTTAATAGTTTGTGTATAGTAAACTTTGTATAAACTTTATTACAATGGCGATTAGTTGTTCAGCTTTCAAGTGTAAAAGCCGCAACGATAAGAAAGAGCCAGGATTTACGTGTCATAGGTAAATAAACAGTCCGCTCCACCTTTTTAGCGTTTTCTTAGTTTTCTTATTGAATTCGATAATTATTTTTCTGATATTTTATGTTCTGATGTGTGCTATATGTCGATACTAGTTTTGTACCTTTTGTTATCATTTTAATACGTTTTTTTTCGTAATTAATTAGTATGATACCGCCGTATACACCATAGGCGTAGTCAAAACAATTATCAAAAAGTATAAAAATCTCTTCAAACAGCTAAGTTAAGAAAAATATGTGCCACGGCACTGTTTGGTGACATGGTCACAATTTGCTCTCGGGTGTTATTTGTCCTTGAATTCTTTAGTCATTGGGCTAAAGTTTGTCCAAAGAGGGAGTATATGTCAGTGTGACAGTTGTTGAACGTCATTTTAATTCACAGGTAAGTAGTATTTCTTTCATTTTTTGGATGTCGTCTGTCGAATTCCTCTTTGGACAGGCTTTATATCAGTATACCTAGAAGCTATTTGTTTTATTATTTGACCTGTGCAATTAATGACAATTAATATTATTTTGACCTATGCATGAGTTTATATATTTTTTTTTTTTTTGCTTAGCCTATACCCCTTCTTCTATGAAGCGCGATTACTACCGAGGCTCTCAAGATAGTCTGGCCGATCGAAGCATGAGCAATAATATGCTTTATAAAGGTGTGTTGCTTTTATGTTATTATTTTTTATTGAGCACCATTAATTTTGATTACCTATAAATACGCCTTATGGAAGACTTCCTAGATTACTGACATCGATTTTTTTACTTATAATGATTAATCTATATTTAATGTTAACTGTATCTGGATGTATATTTAATGTTAATTTTTAGTAGGTATATTTCACTATAATTTAATTGAAATATCACATAATTTGAGATAGTTTAGTAATTCTTAGAAATAAAAGTATTTATGACTTTTTACTATACAGGGTTGTTCACCACATACGACACGGAGTATTGTAGCTAAACGATTAGATTTTTACAAATTGTAAGTTTTGGGTTCGTTGAAGGACTATTAGAGCTACAATTTAAAAATATTTTTACAAGATACAGAGTGTCCCAAATAAATAAGAAATATCAAAGTTGTATTTTTTTAAATGGAACACCCTGTATATTATTACATTTTTAGTTTCTACAATTAAAATAAAGGTAAATTTAATTAAGGTTTATTACACTTAAACCTTACCGTTTAAATATTTTCAATTTTGTGAAATTACAGTAAAAAATTTAAGGCTTCATTTCTCCAATGATATCAAAGTTTTTAATACCAAATATTTACTAAAGTTTATTTATTGATCAGTTATTGTGTTGCAATAATAAAAATAATACTACTCATACAGAGTGTCTAAAAATTTATTTTAAATAATTTCTAGCTTTAAACGGCAATAACTTGTATAATTTAAATGGAACGCCCTGTATATTTAGGAGAATCAGATGCAAAATTTAATTGTCTATCAAATTGTATTATACCACTTTTTATCTGTCCCTTCAAGTTTTCGTAGAAAATGCATTTTTTATAATTTAGACCTCATTTATCAATATACCCATGGAATATTGACATTTTAGAGTGTTTTTAAAGCAACAAATGTACAAAATGTACAGGCTGGTAATGGTACAGGCTAAATATTATTACTAGTCCATTTGCATGCAAAAAGAAAACTATTTAAATCTTTATAAAAGAGTATACCGTTAATTAAATATACCACCCTTATTTCCGCCGAAATACTAATTAATTACATACTTAATTATGTTCGTTAATAAGTTATTCTAAATAAATGTGGATTTGAATCAGAAATCAGTATAATAATAAGTTATGAAAATGAACGTCTCTGTTATAAATAAGCATTTGTCAAAAAATGAAATATCATTTTTAAGGTGGTCCTTTTTACCACACTGTCTAATACACATACAAAATTCAGTATTTTAGTATTTGGAGCAATTATTATTAATCAACGCAAACAGTCAATTAATGTAGTTTGAATACTGGAATCAGATTAATTGGTCCTCTTTAACAAATATTTAAACAGTTTTTTTAATTTTTTTAATGAAATAAACGAACTATATCGACAATATTAGTATCTGTACTTTTTAAAAATTTGGTACATCTTTAAAATAATCTAAAATGTCAGTATTCCATGGGTATATTGAAAAATGAGTTCTAAATTACAAGAAAATGCATTTTCTACGGAAACTTGAAGGGATAGGTAAAAAGTGGTATAATACTGGTGGTGGTAAATTATGCATCCGATTCTCATACATTATACAGGGTGTTCCATTTAAATTAAACAAGTTATTGCCGTTTAAAACTAGTAATTATTTAAAATAAATTTTTAGCCACTCTGTATAAGGTAGTATAATTTTTATTATTGCAACACAATAACTGATCAATAAATAAACTTCGTAAATATTTAGTATTAAAAACTTTGATACCCTTGGAGAAATGAAGCCTTAATATTTTTACTGTAATTTCACAAAATTGAAAATATTTCAAAAACGGTAAGGATTAAGTGTAATAAACCTTAATCAAATTTATCTTTATTTTAATCGTAGAAACTAAAAATGTAATAATATACAGGATGTTCCATTTAAAAAAATACAACTTTGATATTTTTTATTTATTTGGGACACAGAGTGTAATCTTGTAAAAATATTTTTAAATTGTAGCTCTAATAGTCCTTCAACGAACCCAAAACTTACAATTAAAGTAAAAATCTAATCGCTTAGCTACAATACTCCGTGTAGTATGTGGTGAACAACCCTGTATATTTGATTGATGAATATATATCAGGTGTTTTTTAAAAGTGGTCCATCTGAAAGCTTTTATTTTTGCACAAGAAAAAACGTGATTTGGTTTCTTAGTATATGACATAAATCAGGATTGTTTGACGTATTCAATTAGTTTCGGTCACTTATGTCAAGTTATAGGGGTGAGCCACTTTTGAAAAACACCCGGTATATATATAGTCTATTCGACGAAATAATATACGATATTAGTACCTATTTGCATTTTAATTCAAGGTTATACTCTGTAATATCCAATAATCCAGAGTTTTTGGTTTGAGTGGCGAAATTTTAGTTAAACTTTATTTCTACCTTATTAAAATACAACTTCTCTTGTTTTATATGAATATGCCTTAGCATTACTTACGTTTTTTTGTAGATTCCCCAGATGACAGTCATGGCATGTCGCCATGCCACAGCGCGAATCAGACCTTGGGCAGGCGCAGTTCTTACAAAACCAGCAGAGGTAAGTGATACGCCTACAATCGTACGTGTTGCATTCAGCTTTTCAGATGTTGCGATTGGGCATATTATAAATAGTAGGAAATATGGCACGCTACTTCTCTATTACTGTCCCTGTTACATATATTATTATTGGCCCTACATTTAAGTTTGCATTAACTATTAGACGTATTTTTTAAATTATTTTTTGTGTTGTGAATGGTATATTTAAAATACGAACGTACAAGTAGGTTAAAGTTGCGGGTTGTAGTGGGGCAGTAAAAAGGCCGACAGTGTTGCTGGTATCATTTATTTCCTTTAAGTTGTGTCAGCTGAAATGAGACAGGCCATGTTGCGAATATGCGTAAGTTTTGAAAGCTAAAAAATAAGCGATGTTGGTTGTTATATTGTTGTTTTGTTCTTTATATACAATAAATTTAAAAATTATTAGTTTTTAAATTTATTGTATTTAAATTTTTTTTTTCTTTATTATAATTATTACAATTTGTCATGGTTTATTTTTATATGATTTGTATATTTTTTCCCTTTATTTTTTTGTATAAAATTGTTAACAGCAAAATTTATTTAAGTGCATATGTTTAGTTTATTTGTTTATAATTTATAGTTATTTTTGAATATGGTTTATTTACATTTTTTCTGCAAAATTGAAAATGAAAAAATGAAGATTATACTGGATGTTTTGTCAATTCTAAAATTAGTTTATGTAAAGAATTCAACAACGAACAACTTTTTTATGAGGTATGGCGAAATTTTAGATACCGATAGAATATAATGGCGTGATTGATTTTATATCTTTATATACAGGGTGTTCCAGAAAGAAGTGCAAGTATTTTAACTGGTAGTATAGTTCAACCCCAGAAACACGTCTGTGAGGTTTTTTCGCGAAAAAAACTTTTTGATATTTCGAAATTTTTTGAAAAATTTTTTGGAATTTTTTTCAGTTTTTAGTTAAAAACATAATTTCTTGATAATATAGCAACATAGGTATTAGATTAAATTTACAAGAAAGAAAATCCAGGAAAGATCCAGTGGTTCTTAAAATTTTAGCAAAAAATCATTTTTTTGGAAATTTTAAAAGTAGAATAACTTCGTTATTTTGGACTTATTTGAAAAGCGATAAAGAGAAAATATGTTTCTTTTATCGAGATCTACCACCCCCTAAAATACTTGCACTTATTTCTGGGACACCCTGTATACAGGGTGACCCAGAAATAAATGCAAGTATTTTAACTGGTAGTATAGTTCAACCCCAGAAACATGCCTATGAGGTTTTTCTCGCGAAAAAAAAATTTCGAAAATTCGAAATTTTTTGAAAAATATTTCGGAAATTTTTTTAGTTTTTAGTCAAAAAACATAATTTCTTGATAATATGGCAACATAGGTAGTAGATTAAATTTACAAGAAAGAAAATCCAGAAAAGATCCAGTGGTTCTCAAAATTTTAGCAAAAAATATTTTTTTTGGAAATTTTCAAAGTAAAATAACTCCGTTATTATAGACTTATTTGAAAAACGATAAAGAGAAAATATGTTTCTTTTAGCGAGATCTACCACCCCTTAAAATACTTGCACTTATTTCTGGGACACCCTGTATATTAAATCAAATAATAACAAAAAAATCTTTATTTAATTCAAACAATTTAGGTGACACTATTTTGTTCGTTATTGCAGGACTTATTCGTACTTGTTCATATTTTTCATCTAAATATTTTTATATAAAATGAAATCAAATCGCAATAAGGAGTAAAATTTGTTAAAAAAGGTGGAAAAAGTGAATAATACTGAAGAAAGTTCTACAATGAAAAACATGTTTTAAACTTAGTGAAAAAATTGAAAAATCTGAAGTATATAAATCAACCGCTCTAGATCCGGTATCTAAAATGTCGGATAATTGAATTGTTTTTTTTAAATAAACAGTACATACATATTTCGATGGCATTAGATCAAATTTCACCAGCATATTATATGAACTAAAATATTTTTTTTGTATTCATTATCTGAAAGTGAAGTAAAAGAAATTTATAATAATAAAATAAAGAATAAATTACAATTGTTTACAAAAAGAATTGTGCTGAATAGGGAGAGAATCTTAACATTAACCTTAAGAACTTAAGAACAAGCTGTTCTTACTTCTCCAAATTGTATTAAGAATACCTACTCTAGTATCCGCTTGCGCTTATATTTTACATTTTTTTTAGTTACCATAACTTTACAAATATTTTTAGAATTTAGAAAACTATAAGAGAGATACTATTTTTTATTGATAACATTAATTTGTTTGTGAATTACTCATTTCCATACCAACGAATAGATGACTATGAACGTTTATAAACCGTTAAATTCAATATCCTAGTTTTGGGCATATGCAAATCAATTTGGCATTGCATTTAATAAACTAGTGGTTTCAGTAATACTTTATACAGTTGATACCAAATAAACTTTTAGTCACGTGATTACGCTTGACCGGCACATCGTTGTCCACTTTTACATATTTTCTTTTATTCAAAATATTTTAGAAGACAAAAATACATGAATTATAAATATATAAACAATTATTACTTATATCAAAAAAACTCTCTTTAACAGCACTTAAGGGACATAAAGGGCCATTACTACCGTTTTTCCGTTCAAAATATTCTAATAAAGTTGCGATGAGTTTTTTACGGCTATTAAGCTATATTGTACACTTCGCACTAAAAGAGGTTCTAAAAAGAACATTGTTCGACAGCAAGGTCTGCTAGTAAACTTTTTAAGCTAAAAACTCGTAATACAAAACTAAAGTGTCAAAACGAATGACAGTGTCAGGAAATAAATAAATGAATGTGGCAACTTGACATTTTTTACATCAGAGCTACCACCTGCCTCCCCAGCGCGAAATTGAAATTCCAGTTAGTCAGCCCGGCGTCGAATATGTCCATGGTTGGCAACAATGAATTTAAAAAGTGTGCCCTCGATTACGTAACTAAAAGCTTAATTGATATCAAATATACTTAAATGTTACATTACTATTTTTTGAATCATATAATATGCTGTTGTAGTTTTATCCATGTTGCTCTGTAATTCGAATTCTACATACTATACAAGTATACTCAGATGCATAAAAACGCCACGGAGAAATTTTTGGTCAAATTTTAAAGTATTATATTTTTGTTATTTTTAGCCCTATTTGCATGAATTTTTTAGTAAGCTGTATACAATTATATCAAATTTAATTCTTAAACTCAGCTTCGTATAAACTTTAATATTTGGCACATTATACAGGGTTAATCGAGGGGTTGTTTTTTACCCTAACTTTAAAATCGCCTGCAATAATTTCGTCTGTAAATTTTCCTAAAATTTAATTTTACGATCAGAACCATGACCCCTGAGCTTTTTTAACGTTTTTTGATTCGTGTCAATACATGTTTTGATTAACTTTTAAAAGCGAAATGAACTGATGGCGATCAATTTGCAATTTTTTCAGTTATGAATACCTTTTGATGTAATTTTTTAATACGACGAGATGGTTTAGGTGACTATTGTCGTAATGTCATTTTACACTGCATTAGAGACTATACTAAATTAAAAAAAAAACGTTAAATACGAACGATATAGTCCGGGTTTTAATAAACATTAATAACGATAACAGAACTAACGATATAAAAAAAAACATCTGTAATACTCAAGTATACAAACAGGAAAAAAATGTAAAAAATACGCTAATACTTTGTATTGCTCTCCTTGGCTGCTATAACTGCCTGTCATACGTCCTGCGTCCGTCCATACTGTCATTGAGGGTGCATATATCATATTACGTTACGTTTTTCCATTCTTTACGGACCAAGCGAAGTTCATTTAATGAAGCTGGTACTGCTTCGCGACCTCTAACCCTCCAGCCAACTTCTACAACCAAACTTCGAACATGATGGGCAGTTCATAGTAGTATATAGTTTACAATAATCATCAAAGCCGCCTTGTCACATTGAAAAATAACTTAAAAAATAAATTATCGCTATCTAAAATCTAAATAAATAAATCGCTACCAATGTTTATTGAAACCAGGACTGTATCGTTAGTCTTTAGGTTTGTTCTCGCAGCGTGTTCCCAACATGTTTGTGACTTCTTCCAAACCGGTGTTAATGCGCAGGTCTCAAATAATGCAGTTTCTGATCGATTTCAAACTGTCTGTGCGAACAGCTACTCTTCTTTTTTGATCTAATAATACCACTAATTTTAACTCCTACGTAATACCGAATAAAGAAGAAAACGAACAGGGAATTAAGCAAAGATATCTTGTAATGTTTTTGGTTTTGTTCTTTTTAATGTTTTAATGTTTTGTAATTTTGATTCGTGCGCCTGACCCGTTCCTACATCAGCTCTTCTAGGTCTGTGTCTGTATCCGAAAATTCGGACGCTTTAGATTCTGCGGAAGATTCAAAATCGCTCATTTCTTTTCTTTATTTTTTGAAGAAAAAAACAGTAAACAAAAACAACACACGTTTACGTTTTTTAAGCTTACCAATTAATGACGTCGGGTCGCAATACGCATGCGCCGGACACTTACTTGCAAAAGATCCGCGAACCGGTCTGACTGTCAGCTAACAATCTGAATTTTCTGTGCGAACAGCGTACTGTTGGTTGGAAACCAATCAAAAATTTCTGTGCGAACGCGTTTTACCCTATTGCGCATGATTATCTGTTGGAAATATGTTTCTTACAGCTGTGAGAACAAACCTTTTAACGTTTTTTTTTTAATTTAGCATAGTGTATCCATTGCAGCGTAATATGATGTTACGACAATAGTCAATAGTCACTAAAATCATCTCGTCATATTAAAAAAACACATCACAAAGTAATGATAATTGAAAAAATTTGCAAATTGCAAGTTCATTTCGCTCTTAAAAATTAGCAGCTACATATCAGGGCATGTATTGGCATGATCCAAAAAACAAAATGCTCAGGAGACATGGTTTTCACCGCAAAATTATATTTTAGGAAAATTTATACACGAAATTATTGCACAGGGTGTTTTAAAGTTAAGGTAAAAAACAACCTCTCGATTAACCCTGTATAATATGCCAAATACTAAAGTTTATAAAAAACTGAGTTTACGAATTAAAGTTAATACCTGCTGGCAACTGTTACTTTTGGGTCGGCATTTACATGTGTGGAAGTATATCGCATAGGGATCTTATTAAGTCAGAGTGAGAGAAATGCGACCGACCGACGTCGGTCCGCGACTCTTAGCGATAGCGTTCCACGTCTCTTAGCGATGTGCACAGTTTCTCGGTTTATTTCATACGTTTGGCAACGTGTTTACTGTCTTTATTTTATATTATCTCTCTTTGTTCAGTACATTATAAACGCATTGTACTCTTCTTACATACGGAAATCTCGACCCAAGACTAACCTTTGCCAGCCCTTAGTATAATTATATACAGGTTGCTAAAAAATTCATGAAAATAGGGCTAAAAATAACAATAATATAACACTTTAAATTTGGCTAAAAATTTTTCCGTTGCGTTTTTTTTGCTTTCTGAGGGTATTTTATATTAAATAGTCTAAGTTAAATTGCGATATCAATGGCACGAACACTGACACGATTTTTATAAACGCCACAGCCCATTTTCAGTTGACAAGTGCTGACAAGTAGTGTATAAGTATACGTAAACGATATTTTTGCAGACCCCTCACCCGCCCAGGTGCGCGGCAGATCTAAGATATCGACTTATCAAAACTTTAAGGGACGCAAGTCTAGCTCTCTGATGAATTTGTACGGTAAGACTACAGCTCACTCTTTCATTGGCCTGGTTCAAGGTATTCTCTCACAAGTGTATATTTTACTAAGTGTCTTGAGCTGTTGTTGGTCGTGGGGCATGCCTTTATATACTTTAATTGTGGATGGAATATATCGGAAGTTTGCTACGCGTCTAACTGTACAACCAATTCAAGATTTACAGGGTGGTCCGAACTGTATTCCGGAAACTTCGGCAGTATATTCTGCAGGTAAAAATAAGTAAAGAAGGTCGTATAAATGTTTGTCCTAAAATGCTTAAATACTTAGTTTCGGAGATACAGGGTGTTGAAGTTTCATTTTTATTTCGATTTGTTCCAAATAGTTTCTGAAGTAACGTCAATATATTTGGATGAAGATTGGTGTCTGGGAGTTATTTGACATGATAAATTTGATTTTGATGTGTTTTAACTGTGTAAAGAGTAATAACTTTTCATCCGAACCTGTATAAAACTACTGAGTGAAAAAAATATACATTTTTGTACAATTATAAATTTTTTTCAGACAAAAAATGATGATAAAACAGTTTCTGTTGAACTTTTGGTACAACACTATTTCAAATTTATGATTTGAGTCTAATAACTATTTAATCAACATGTTTAATGTATGTCAATGTTGATAGGTATTGATAATTTCGATTCCAAATATTTCGAGAACTATTATGGTCTAAGAGCTAGCAACGTTTTCGAGAAAGTATTTTAAGACGTCTGGCTCTTTGATATATCTTTTACTATACTCTCTGGAACTGCATGCGGCCCGTCTGACTGCCGATTCCCGTTGCGTTCACTACTGCGCATCCGAAGAAGATCCTATATTTTTAAAAAAATTAGTCCTATAAATTCTAGTATTGAATATAAATCGAACATGTCTCCATAGCGCAGTGCGTAGAGTTTCCGACCACGAACCGATGATTCAGAGTTCGAATCCGGGTCAAGGGCGCTATTCTGTACAATCGTCGGAATCGGTGAGTTACCGATAGCTATCGGTACGTATTTGCATATAGTAAATATGTGTTAATTGTTGTTGTCATAGTTACCGATCGGCCCTATGGCAGATATCGCAAATTTGTACCAACGACTCTCGGTATCTCTACCGTGGGGTTGACAAGGGCACGGTAGAGATACCGATTTTCGTCGGTACTAATTTGCGATATCTGCCATAGGACCGATCGGTAACTATGACAACAACAATTAACACATTTTTACTATATACAAATACGTATCGAGAGCTGTCGTAACTTACCGATACCGACGATTTTACAGAATAGCGCCCCAGGTCAGACTTTTTTATTTTATTTTCGTTTATATTCTGATAGTAAAGTATTAAATAATTCTGGTAATTAAATAAAAACAAATATTTAAGTTTTTTTATTATTATTATTTTTTTTTTCCTTAATAAAAAAGTTTTTGCCCCGACCCGGATTCGAACTCTGAATCATCGGTTCGTGGTCGGTTCGTTTTTACGCACTGCGCTATGGAGACATGTTCAATTTATATTCAATACTTAGAATTTAAAGGACTAATAAAAATATAGGATCTTCTTTCAATGCGCAGTAGGGAATGCAACGTTTACCGGCAGCCAGACGGGCATGCTGTTCTAGAGAGCATAGTAAAAGGTATATCAAAGAGCCAGACGTCTTAAAATACTTGTTTTTCCGACGTTGCTAGCTCTCGTACTATTACTCGTAGTGATTTTTACCAAGAGACCTTTCTAAGATAAAAAACGTCGTAAATGTATATTTTTTGACTTAGTAGTTTTATACAGGTACGGTTGAAAAGTTATTACTCTTCAAACCAGTTAAAAAATATGTAGGTGGCGCCCTCTACAAGTAGGAGTCATATTGACACCAAAATCAAATTTGTCATGTTAAAAAACCTACCAGACACCAATTTTCATCCAAATATTGACGTTACTTCATAAATTATTTGGAAAAAATCGAAATAAAAATGAAACTTCTAAACCCTGTATCTCCGAAACGAAGTATTGTAGGACATAAGTTTATATGAACTTTTTTACTTATTTTGAGTGCAAAATTTGCTACCGAAGTTTCTGGAAAACAGTTCGGACCATCCTGTATAACGAGTACAATTTATAAAGCATAATGTTCTACATTTAAGGTTTAACAAAGAAGCTTACAAGTTTTTTCAAACCTACTTTCGCCTCTTTTTATTCGAGCACATGAAATTTTATATATAATTAATTACCCACAAATAATTTTTTGACGAATATACAGAGTGACCCATTCAAAAAATGTAAATATTAACCAATATTTGAAAAATGGAAAATGAAAATTCTATAAGAATATAGGAATAACTAGTCTATGACACCTTAATATGCGTTTTATCATGAAAATGTATTACGAGCACGTAACCTAACCTATATTTCTTAATATTCTTATTCGATAATTAAATTAAAAATCTTTTAAATCTCATCTCGTTTTTATTAGGCTCACATTATTCTGAAAAACGAGTATAAATATCATCAAAAAAATAATTTAATTATTTGGCTTTTGACAGCTCGATAAATACCCGAATTTCTTAAAGTTATTGCCTACCAAACGAGCAAAATCAGAATAACCAACTATTTCAATCATTGTTGATATATCCCTATATTTATTAGTTGGTACGCGAGATAACCCTCTTTTATAACGTAAATGGGACACTCTGTACATAGTACAATAATCGAAGAGGTAATCGAGAGTATAGACCAAATAATTATATTTTTCAATGAATTTTTAGTGTATAGAATGTTCAGCCATCGTTCAATGTCACGTCATATATTGTCGAACTCTCTCGATCACTTGCCAACCAGATCAAAGAGATTGGTAACGTCATTACGGCATTTCGTAAATTGATGCATATTCTTTTTAGTAATTACTGTCAAAATTAAAATTTGATTGTTGCTGTAAAACAAAATTCAATTTTTTTACTGCAAAAATGTCTCAAAGATTTAACCAAAATGAACAAGAGCTCATTGTTAAGCTTATAAATTATTTTTCTCGAGAAAGAGACCCTGGTAGAACACTCTTGTCCGTGGACACCGTGTATGAAGTAAGTGCAATGCAAAGGTGTAATATTCCTACGTAAAATACAAATTGATAGCGTTTTTAGGGTTCCGTACCCGAAGGGTAAAAACGGGAACCCTATTACTAAGACTTCCCTGTCCGTCCGTCCGTCCGTCTGTCACAAAGGTCTATCTTATGAACCGTTATAGCTAGACAGTTGAAATTTACACAGATAATGTATTATATCTATGTTGCCGCTATAAGAACAAATACTAAAAACAGAATTAAATAAATGTTTATAAATAAAAAAGTACTTTCACTAAACATTATCTTTTAAGTAAGAATTTCCCATAGAATCTTTCAAGTCCTCGGTGGCCGCGTGGTTAAAGCGTTAGGACTTTACGCTGCTATGAGGATGGAGCCGTAGTAAGGCAGGTTCGAATCCTAGTCAAGGCGACTTTTTTTTAATCTTTTTTTTAATTTTTACATATTTATTTTTACTTTTTACATATTTATTATTGATTAATACAATTTGTAGTAATGTGTCTCTTCATTTTTTTAAGTTACTTATACCCGCATTCAAAATTTCAGCTAAATCGGAAAAAAAGTTTCTAATAATATAGTGTCTAATGTTGTATAGATAATGAATGGTACGGAACCCTTCGTGCGCGAGTCCGACTCGCACTTTTTTATTAAATAATATAGCGAGTTTCTGGGCCCGAATTCTGTAACTTTGACATAAAAACATTACGCTTTCAAAGCGGTGAGCGCAAGTATTCGATCAGCGAAACGCAAGGCAGTCGATTTTGGTATTCTCGTTACCATGCGAATCGTGTTCTAGATACGCGTTGAGCACATATTGGTAACATCACAATTTCTAATGTAACTAATAGTCAAAAGTTGATAACTGACGGATGTAACAATGAAAAATGTCAATGTTACGTGAATTTTATAACCTATTGTTGAGTTATGTCAAGCTATTTTTCTATGGATATGTTATTATTCTTATTATACGAGGGAAGTGTTGAAGACTCTTCCCAGCATTTTCGATGTTTTGAACGATATTTATATCTGCCAAGTCGTAAATTATCAATTACTTATTGAGGAATTTATAGAAATAATAATTTTCACTAAAGAGCAAGATAACGCACAAAATCACAAGTTTTTCAATTATCACTGACAGTTCGACAAGCAAAACGATCCTTTAAGGCAACCGTTTTCAAAGCGCTCAGCGCAATCAGTAAAGACGCTAAGCGCGTCAGACGAGAATACCGAAATCGTTAATTAAGTGCGCGCTCTGCGAAAGTTAACGTCATATACGCTGAGAGTCTAAAAGCGCTTAGCGTTTTCAAAGTTACAGAATACGGGCCCTGATGCTTCAGAAATAGGAATTTCAATAGTCCAAAGAATTGGAATTAAAAGGATTTCGTAACTGATGAAGAGTTTAAGAAAAATTAATAAATACCGGAAAAAAAACGGAACTCCTTCAATCAGTAATACAGGAACGCACTTGAAATTTTCTAAACAATATGAACTGATCACAGACACACCCTAAAACTCATATTTGACAAATAATGATGACGTAACGATGAACGATGGCTGAACAGTTTACATACTTACAGTTTTTATACATGGCCAAATTTTTAAATTGTACTTATTTTTTATACTTTTCTGTACAAATGCAGCAAAAAAATAATTGGGTGTACAGTTAGAAACAACATATAACATTATGATCTAACATAATATTACATATACCGCACAAAAAAATCCTTTTTTCATGCCTCTTACACTCTTGAGTCGTAGCAAACTTTTCACATATTTTACCCTTTTTATCAATTTTTGGTCGGACTACGTTATTTTTAGGTTTACTTATTTGGTGATGGATTTTTATTTTACATAATTGCTAGATACCATTTATAAATACATTTTACCCTGCTTGAAAAGGAGTTATGTTAATTTTTTTTATTTATGTCGTGACCAAATTGTTTATTTTTGTTTATTAGGTTTCGTGATGTTTTTATTATTATATAATAAGAGTTCTTTCAGGATTTTACTACATTTATATATCTTTTGTACATTCAGTAGATTAGGTATATATGGCACGATTTATATATCTATTTTATGTTGCCAATTTTATTATTTTATTAGTGTCTTTTTATTTTTTTTTTAATTTATAAATTATTCTAGTGTCAATACAGCTAGTAGACTTTATACATTTTTGTATAATTAAAAGTTGGTTCTTATACATAAGTTTATAGAAATACTAATAATAACCATAACATTTCTTCGAATTAGATTTAACAAAAAACTTTTTTCATATTTCCATATTTAATATTCAACAACTAATCATTATCTTGGTACTTGGTAATTAATATTTTTCTCATTAACTTTTTACATTCTGATTTACAGGTTTTAAATAAATCAGAATTATGTCATATTTTTGAAAATTTAACATACCGAGTGTTTTTCAAAAGTGTATTAGTATATAACAAATTAGGATTGATTGGTGTATTCAGTTGTTTTCGGCCTCTTCCTGATTCACCGAAAATGACTACAACTTTTGATTTTTAAATGACACCCTCGACATTCTTTTGTTTTATTTGATATAAAATTACATTCTGAATAGAATGACAAATCATATGTCAACTTTTGACATTTTCAATTTAAAAGATAAACAGCATTATAAATTTCAATTTGACTCGAAACACCAAGTGTGTGGTACCAAATTATTCGTAAAAATATGCTTTTTCCAAATATGCTGATGAGTCACCAAAAAAATGAGTTATGATTAAAAATACGATTTTTTAATCATAACTCAATCAAAGGGCATTTAACCGGTCAGAAAAAAATTAATATTAAATCGTCAAATCTATTTTTCCAAAGCTCCTTGATTGAAGTTAATGGTTTGGTTTGAAATTTTAAATAAGTATAAATGTAAAAAAATAGTGAGGGTACCATTTAAAAACCTAAAGTTTTAGTAATTTCCGGTGAAACATGAAGTGACCGAAACTAATTGAATACGTCAATCAACCCCAATTTATGTCATATTACTAACATACCAACTTTCCACTTTTAAAATACATCCGGTATGTAAGGAACAATATTTGTATTTATCAACAAACCAGCTGTTATGTCAAAATGTGTTCTTTATTATTAGGTACACTGAATTAATCCTGCATAATATTTTTACGATTACTCAGTAATATCTTTCTATTTGGTTGTCAACATCACGAAGTGGCGTAACTCATTTTTTATATTTTTCGGGCGAACGGAGCGGTTTAAACCTTCTTAACTATTTTTGTCTTGATACCAATCAAAATATATTGTAATCACTGTGTCTCTTTGATAAAAAAAGAAACAGCCGCTTCAATATATTTTGGTTAGTTTTGAAACAAAGGTCGTAAAAAAACTTTAAACCGCTCTCCTGAATATTATCAAAAAATGAGATACGCCACTTCGTGATATTGACGACGATTTGTTGTCGACTTTTTGAACATACTTTTTTAAACAGGTATCATTAAATTAAATAATCAGTTACCACTTGTTTCTATAGGCTTGGTGCATTCTCCGCCGGAGAGTATCCACCATCGGAGAATATCGTAAACAGCTAATATATACAAATACATGGGTTTAAATAGCGAGTATACGAAAAATTTATTATATAGTTATTCTAAAAGTGTTAGGAAGTATAATTAGTGAAAATTCTAAAAATAAAAATAAAAAAGTAATTTTTTTGATATCTTGAGAAGGTCTAACTTGTATTATAATTTATTTTTCGAAACACCCTGTATACATTTTTAAAAAATCTTAAAATATGTAAAAAAACAAAATAAGATATACGTATTTAAGCGTTTTTTCGGAAACTTGACCGTTTTTTAAATAAAAAATATTGTAATATTTGAGGGGTGGTTTCACCCTCTTGGAACTGGAATTTCGAAAAATCCCTTCTTATCGAACCTCTACACCCTAGAACCAACCTGTATGCCAAAATTGAGCTTCTTACGTTGAGTGGGTTGAGCAGGATCGTGATTAATCAGTATGTCAGTCACTTAAGGATTTTATATATTAGTATAGATTATTCCAGTTAAAAAAAAATTAGATGAGTCAACTACGGCAGCGAGCATAGTTTTAATCACCGGTTTTGCTAGTGGGGCATAATTGGGGCTATTTCGGCTATAACGAATTTTTTTAAAGGTACGTCATTATAATTTTAGAAGATGTCCCCATAAAACATTTAATCACTAGTTGATTAAAAAAGGTATACTATAATTATATTTTATCATCTCATATTATATATGTCTGTTTAATTTTTTGATTATGTAACGAGCACTTTGTTTACTCACTTGTTTCGTCGAACTGCTTGAATCCATTTTTGCTTTTGTTCAAATCGGTGTGAGAAACTATGAAGCTATAAAATGTTGTTTCGGGAAGAGTTGAATATCCGCGAAAGTTGAGTTATTGATTGTTGTTGCACCCAACAACGCCTTCCTTACGCTCTCCTTTACGCGTTACCATTTTTTCGGCAATTTTATTAACATTTGAAATTGTCACAACTCAACACGACGCCTAGTTCGAATTCTTTTTCACTTATTTTTTACTACCCGAAACAGCGTTACATCACACAAACTTCATATTTGAGTGTTTTATAGTGTCAATAACTGCACTAGCAAAAAACTAAAATACTTAAATATATGACAAAACCATGATTTCAATATTATTTTTATGCGATCAATATGTCGGCGGCTACTAATTTCAGATTTTTGCCGTTGAAGCTCTGCGGTCGGAATTGAAATCAACTGAAATGCACCAAGCCTATAGGAGTTCAAAAATAGAGATTTTTATTAAACAACATATAAGTTTTACAGTTAGTTCTTTTTATTTATTTTCATCTCTTATTATTTCTCAACTACGCAAACCCCTTACCGCTTCAATACAAACCTGATCACCGTTTTCTCTGTGAATGCAGGCTCGAGCACAGACCAAGACAGCTTAGCTTACCGTTTCGGCGACACCGATTCGGGCTTGGGTCGGGCCACGCCCCCACGGCGAGCGCCATCTCCCGGCATGGGCTTGCGGCACTTACCTTCACCGTCCGGTCCGGGCAGTCTTCCCGGCCTTATGTCGAGGGGGCGCAGGGTGTTCGATGACGGGTCCAGTGACATTAGCTCGACGCCGAGCAGCATGATGGATTATACAGGTACGGTATTTGGGGGAATATTAGCAGTTAGTTTAGTTATTTCTTGTTTTAAAAAGTTTGGCGCTTCTTTCAAAGGTTGAACGTTTGCTACAGCAGCGTCATCAGAATTGTTCCCTCTTTGATGACCACTTTTCAATAGATGAAGACAATTCTCCTTACCTCTACCGTCCATAGTTATGTATTATTATATACTAGCCTTTTCGAAGTATTACTTACGGTAATCGCAAACATTTTCCGATGCACGTCATCAGTCATATCGACATTGTGACTAAAGTCTATAAAGCTGCCTAAATGAAATTTTGGCAAAAATGTTTAAATTTGTTGTATAATTTAAGATACCAAGCAGCTCGTCATTTGACTTTTCAGAGCAAATGATTGTAACAGATATTTTATTTAGGTTAAAGCTGCAAAAATTAGTTTAAACCGAATTTTATTATCGCTATGTTGGTCACATTGCGCCGTTTTCGGCAAGGTTGTCGTTTGTTATTTGGCAATTATATTTCGTATACTCGTCCAAATAGATATTATACATGTAGTTACACTATTCTTACTTTATCGAGCACATTTTTACAAAGAGTGAATCATAATTTTTTTTCTCTTATCATCCTTGCCGCTGCACGCCCGACCTGGTTGAATCATTACATTATTGTGCTTTATCGAGTACGTACAGTTCGGCAGCTAAAATGCCAAAAAAGACGTAGATTTAAAGTGAAAGTGATAGTGATGAGCTAACTGCAGAAAGGGCACGGTTAAGGCGAAAATTAGAACGCCTAGAAACGAAAAGAAAATCAAAGGGAAAACAAATAAGGCGTCGAATTATCGAATCAGACAGTGATGATTCAAGTGGAAGTAAGTAAAACCATGGATGGGGTTACACATTGCTGTTAGTTAATAAGTAACCTATTGTCGAGTTATTTATTAAAAAGACTTAATTAAAACATGTGTCATATAAAAACTTATAATACAATAACGCATACCTACCTAAACATCCGACTGCCGAGATGTGGGGTAAAATCCTTTCCTTCTTGTCTTTTTATTTAAATTACCTTTAAGCAGCCGACTGCCGAGTTGCCTATACGTTATTTTTTTAAATAAATAAATAAATTGTTATAAAAAGTAAATAACAAGAAAAATTACAAAAACCTACAATACAATAACGTATACCTACCTAAACATCCGACTGCCGAGATGTGGGGTAAAATCCTTTCCTTCTTGTCTTTTTATTTAAATTACGTTTAAGCAGCCGACTGCCGAGTTGCCTATACGTTATTTTTTAAATAAATAATATAAATCTCAAACACCAAAAAGAAACTGAACTAATCTATTTTACTTTTTCTTGACAATAATATAAATTGTAAATACGGAGATATGCTCAATGACAAAAAACGTCGTAAAAAACTGCCTAGAGAATCCGTTGTTGTTCTCTGATATGGGACGATTTCATAACAGTTGGGTCGCTTCAGATAATAAATAAATTGTTATAAAAAGTAAATAACAAGAAAAAATTGTTTAATGTTATTCTTTGGATCGAAGGCAAGAACTGCATGAAGTGCAGGTTCACAGGGAAAACGAAATCCCAGATAACCTATGTGAAGAAACCCTGTCAGTAGTGCCAAAAAATATTAGATTTTTACAAGGTCCGGAGATAAATCCAGAGATATCAGAGTCCATAACTGATGCTCAGAAAAATCACGATAAATACATGTCTATTGTACAGAATCAACTGGGAAATGGCTTATCCGCCTTGGCCAAAGGCTTAAATGCACTATTAGTGGACAAAGCGAACGCGGACGTTGGCTCCAAAGTTATGCCCTGCCTTATCGATGCAGGCAAAGTGATTACTGATGCTTTTCATATGATAACGAAAAGCAGGAAATTTCATATTGAAGCTAATCTAAACCCCACGGTTAAAAAAATTGTTCGTGATAGCAAACCCGACAAATTTTTGTGTGGAGAAAATTTTTCGGAAAAATTTAAAGAAGCAAAGAACCACCAACGCACTGGAAAAGAGTTAAAGTTTGCTAAGGCAAATTTTGTAGTAAATAGGCAGTCGTCTTCCACCACCTACGCAAGAAGCTCAGGTCAAAGTGTAAGGAGGTCCTTTAGGAACCAGCCGACTTTAAACTACCGAGGAGCCTACCACAAGAACAAGGTGAAACGGACACCACCACCTCGGACCCAACGAAGGTACCCTGTGAAAGCACCTTATTACCAGAAAGGGGGATATCAAAAATAATGGAGGTGAGTGCATATGGTGGACGGTTAAGATATTTTACCGAGGTATGGAAAAATATAACAAACAGTATAAGTATTTTGTCTTGGTTAGAGGGCTATAAAATACCGTTTAGGGAAAAACCGATTCAGGGTCATAGACCTATAGTAAGTTTACTTAGTGCATCAGAAGAGCGAAAGGTGGCCGTGATTATACTTAAGTTCGAAAAACAGGGCATAATAAGTCAATGTTGTCATAGCAAAAATGAATACATATCCTCCTTCTTTTTAGTTCCAAAATCTGATGGATCCTCTCGATTTATTTTAAATTTAAAAAATTTAAATAAGTTTTTGGCTCCAGTGCCACATTTTAAGCTAGAAAACTATAAATCAGTAAGAGACCTAATTTATAAAAATTGTTTTATGTCAACCATAGACCTTAAAGATGCTTATTATATGATACCAATTAGTCCTAATTTTAAAAAGTTTTTAAGATTTGAATTCAACGGTCTACTGTTTCAATACAATGTAATGCCCATGGGGTTATCCTCCGCACCATATGTATTTACAAAAATGTTAAAACCGGTACTAAATAAACTTAGATCGTTAGGGATTTTTTGTGTTATGTATTTAGATGATATTTTTGTTATTGGTAGGACCCAGCAAGAGACGCAAGACCATGTTAAAAAAATTATTTATTTGTTAGAACATTTGGGCTTTATTATAAATTACAAAAAATGTAAATTAATTCCAGCAAATACATGTAAATATTTAGGTTTTATTTATAACAGCGAAAAGCTTACTGTAGAGTTACCCATGGAAAAGAAAACTAAGATAATATCGTTAGTTACTAAATTACATAATAAAGAAAAAGTATCCATTAAAGAACTTTCAAAGGTATTTGGCACATTAATTGCTGCATGTCCGGCCGTTTCTTAATAACAATCAAATCTTAATAACAAATCAAATTAAAATCGAACTAAAATGGTGGGAAAATAGTATTTTAAATTCTGTTAAAAATATAAACATGGAAAATTTTGATTTAGAAATATTTACTGATGCCTCCAATACTGGCTGGGGGGTAGTATGTGGTAATAACAAAACTCATGGATTTTGGGTGAGATTGAAGGAAGTCATCATATAAACTACTTAGAACTTTTGGCGATATTTTATGCGCTTAGGTGTTTTGTCTTAAATAAAAGTCACATAAATATAGTGTTTCGTGTCGATAATAAAACAGCCATAGCATATATCAACAAAATGGGAGGCATTCGATTTCAAAAATTAAATAATCTAAGTAAAGAAATTTGGTCTTGGTGTGAAGAAAGAAATATATTTATTTACGCAACTTATATCGCTTCCAAGGATAACACAGTAGCAGATATGGAATCACGGTCAGTGGCAATCGACACTGAATATTGTTTAAATATGCAATATTTTCAAAAAATAGTTTTTGACTTTGGAAATCCAACAATAGATTTGTTTGCAAGTAATATAAACAGCAAATGTACAAAATTCATTTCATGGCGTAAAGATCCGGGAGCTATAGCATCTGATGCATTTAGCATAAACTGGGGAAATTATAATAATTTTTATGCCTTCCCTCCGTTTTCTCTTGTTGGTAGGGTACTCAATAAAATAATAAGAGATCAAGCAAAAGGTATCTTAATTGTGCCTTTTTGGCAGACTCAATACTGGTATCCATTATTTTTAAGACTTTGCGTCAAAAAACCATTAACTCTACCGCCGAATGAATTTTTATTATTATCTCCTTTCAGGACCCCCCATCCGCTTTGGAGACAATTATCCCTAGTAGTAGGGAAATTATCAGGGGATCATTTCTAAAACGAGGCATTCCTGACGCGGCGATACCAATATTGATTGATTCAATAAGTAAAGCGACTTTTAAACAATATGCAGGAACATATAAAAAATGGTGGTTATTTTGCCAGCGTAATAAGGTAGACATTTACCAGGCAAATGTTGGAAATATTATTGCTTTTCTTAATGACCTTTTTTTAAACAAAGCATCATATACGACTTTAAATACTCATCGGTCAGCATTATCATTAATTCTAAATTACAGTAACGGGGATGAAATTTTGATTAAGAGATTCCTTAAGGGTGTGTACAGGGCTAAGCAATGCTTTCCAAAATACAAGACAACATGGGACCCCCAGCCAGTCTTGGAATATCTAAAGAAATTATACCCGTTAAATACACTTTCTTTGGAAATGCTTACAAAAAAACTCGCATCGTTATTATTATTGGCAACGGGACAGAGACTCCAAACTATTTCTAAGATTAAAATTCAAAATATTCATGGTATAGAATCCTCAAAAATTAAAATTTTTATCACAGAAATACTTAAAACATCAAGTTATAATCGTCAGCAGCCAGTTTTAGAGTTCAATTATTTTACAGAATGTCCGGAGTTATGTGTAGCGAATACATTAAAGGCATATTTGTTAAGAACAAGTTCATTAAGAAAAGATACTGACGAGTATCTTATGCTTACATTTAAAAAGCCCCATCATATAGCTAGTTCCCAAACTATTGGCCGTTGGATAAAAAATATATTAAAAATTAGTGGAATTGATACAAACAAGTATCATTCTCACAATACGAGACATGCTACAACCTCAGCGGCTTTTAGGAAGGGAATTGGTATAGATCAAATCAAAGATACTATAGGATGGTCTCAAAGCTCGCAAGTGTTCCAGAAATTTTACAATCGGCCTTTAGAAGGCAATAAATTAAATTTTGTAGAATTAATTCAGGGAAATAATTAATAATTTTTAAGATATATGTATCTCAGATCTTTCATAATTATAGAAAATAAATGTTTATGTAATATTTTGTTTACCTGCTAAGGTATTATACTTAGGTTTAAGTGTTGATGATATTTTTTTTTGATTGTGTTTTTTGTTATAAACAGAAGGTAAATAAATTTAAGGTTTTGCTTACTGGGAAATATTAGAATTATGTTTAAATATATTATATTTTTAGAAATTTCTATACATAACTTGTTTAATTTAACTGCCAACAAAAAATAGAATTTTAGGGCCTTTAAACATCTACATGTATAATATCTATTTGGACGAGTATACGAAATATAATTTTAAGAACAAACGACTTACCTGTAGGAAGTTCGTTCTGAATTATATGAGTATACTCGTCCAAATAGATATGTCCCATACCCGGTTAATTGTTAAATCCCACCCGAAATTCTATTTTTCCACAAAATGTAATGATTCAACCAGGTCGGGCGTGCAGCGGCAAGGATGATAAGAGAAAAAAAATTATGATTCACTCTTTGTAAAAATGTGCTCGATAAAGTAAGAATAGTGTAACTACATGTATAATATCTATTTGGACGAGTATACTCATATAATTCAGAACGAACTTCCTACAGGTAAGTCGTTTGTTCTTAAAATTATCCTAATGTCAGTCATTATTTTGTAGAACATCGTGTTGTTGAATCTTTGTGAGTAATTCTGTTTTTTTTTTGCCTATTTTCATAGTCTTTTTTTTAAAAATTGTACTTTTAAGCACAAACAGTTATTTTAAGAACTAAATTTTCGAGTTTTTCTATTACATTTCTTAAAATTGTGAGTTGAAAATATGCCGAAGCATTTAAACAGTCGAAGCAAAGAGCTTGTAGCTTCCCTGATAAACTATTTTGAACGAGAACGTGAGAATAAAGGTCCTTTATTACCCTTGACTGCAGTCTGAGAAGTAAGTTTGATTGGTAAGCACATTATCACCTCTTTCAAAATTATTTCTACGTTAGTTTTTATTAAATTCTGTGACTATTTAGTTTGTGCATTAATAGCACCCTCTTACTTGTTATTACCACTTATCGCGTTGTAAGATGTACATCAATAAATTAATAAATAACCCATAATAACGCTTAGAATAATCTTCATAATAAGTAAAATATTAGTTATTAAATTAAAAATAAAACGTAAAAATCTTGAAAAAATTATATAATAAATATATTGTTTGACACTTTTAAATTAAGATTCATCTCATCAAATCCATCACAACCTGGAAGCGCTGTTGCCATCGTTTCTCACTCAAAGTTGATCACGTGCATCGGAAATTGTTTTGCGATTACCATAGTCATTATTATATACAGATTGTTAACTGGACAGTTACTTATTGGGGAACAGCATGGGCAACACTGCCTACATTCCAAATGAGTACTAACCTAAGCTGCCGACTCACTAAGCTAAGTCCCGTCGCGTCGTCTCTCGACGAGCGGGCCGAGGTTGCCATATTTCAACCATAAAGCTCTTGCCACGAGTAATAAACAAATTAACAACCTGTATATGGTAAGTCATGTTAGGTTCAGTATAGAATACAAAATATTGATATGTTGGAACTGTATGACGACGAAGGTGAGTTTCTTGTAGAAAAAGAACCTCAAAAGAACCTCATTCAGAACCTCGAAATTAGTAGAATAAATGTGGTTTCAATTAAACTTTATACTTGAGAATTCTTTTATGAATTAATGATGTCTAAAAATACAATTAAAATTAATTAAATATCCTAGCAACGGCTTGCGGTAGTCAGTATCCATAGAGAAAGCCTAATAATTAGCTTATAAAACAATAATCTTTTCATTTCTAACCACATTTTTTTTGACGGATTAACATCAAAGGTCAAAATATCTTTAAGTGGCAAAAGTTAGAAGCATAGATAAAAGAAAATAATCTACTATTAAGTTAGAAGTTTATTAGCTTTTTCTGCGAATTGAAAATTATTACCACTAATTTGGACGTTCTGAATTGTCGCTATTTACGTTATTTCGCATGACATCATAGTCAGGCTCGGTTGAAAACATAGCCAATATCCAATTTTTTGTTATTAAAATTGAGTTTTTTTGAAATTTTGGAGATTTATTAGGATTCTAGTAGGATTTTTGCTCCGATTTAGAAGGACGACTAGCGAAGAGTTAGCAACACTGCTTGGGAATCGTTTTGTACATGCCAACTTGCCATCTCTGTATACCGGGTGCGTCTCAAAAGTGGCTCACTCCCTATAACTTTTTTATTTTTTTCAGTTAAAAAAAACGTGATTTGGTATGTTAATATATGACATAAATTAGGATTGACTGACGTATTCAATTGTTTTCGGTCACTTCCTGTTCCACCGAAAATGACTACAACTTTTGATTTTTAAATAACACCCTCGGTATTTTTCTACTTTATTCGATAGAAAATGATACTCTGAATAGAATGACATATCATATGTCAACTTTTGACATTTTCGAATATGGTTTATTTGAAATTGTAACATGTGGTTCATAACGAAAATTTGAGTCGAAATACCAAGTGTGTGGTATCAAATTATTCGTAAAAAAGTGTTTTTTCCAAATATGCTAATGAGTCACCCTTGTTCCATTTGAAAAAATTAAGGTATAATTAAAAATACGATTTGGGCATCTTTTAACCGGCGGCCAGGACAAGACACGAAAAACATTAGACGATCAAATCTATTTTTCCAAGACTTCTTGATTAAAAATTAGTGTTTTTCACTCCAGATTGAAATTTAAATACAATTTTTTATTAAGTGAGTATGTCAAAAGTTGACATATGATATGGCATTCTATTCAGAATGTAATTTTCTATCAAATAAAGTTGTAGTCATTTCCGGTGAAACAGGAAGTGACCGAAAACAATTGAATACGTCAGTCAATCCTAATTTATGTCATATACTAACATACCAAACCTGGTTTGTTTATCTGAAAAAATAAAAAAAGTTATAAGGGTGAGCCACTTTTGAGACGCACCCGGTATATTTACCTTCGGGTTGTTTATTATTTCATAGAATCAAAATATATTACATATAGTAATTTGTTTCAGGTCCCAGATTGTATAAACAACCGGCCACGAAATCGAACAGAAGCATTATGCTGAACGCGGTAGAATATTGCGTGTTTCCCGGCGTAGTTAACCGAGAAGCGAAGAAGCGGGTCTTAGAAGAGATCAACCGATCGGAAAGTAAACACTTCCTCATCCTGTTCAGAGACGCCGGCTGCCAATTCAGGGCTCTCTACTCGTACTGTCCCGATACGGAGGCGGTCACCAAACTGTACGGCACCGGTCCTAAACAAGTCAACGACAAAATGTTCGATAAATTTTTCAAGTAAGTATAATGGTCGTCTGCTCAATATGCAGGCTGTCCCAGCCTGAGCGTGGATTAGAAGTTTCTAGAGAACCACAACATCTAGATCAGAGATTTTTTACACAAATTGTTTCACAACGAGATCTGTCGATTAAAAATATTTTCAATGTTGCGGCACTTCCGGAAATACTGAAATTTGATAGCGACTTTCTTATTTTAAATGGGTGCCCCCATTTTTTATTACATACTTAAATTCTCTGTAAAATTCTTTGAATATTGATGTTAAACACTCTATACCTAATATTAACAGTTTTTGAGAAAAAAAACCATATTTAATGCTGGGAGTGTCAGCGGGGGTGTTAGTTGAGGCTGGGAGTGTCAGTTGAGGCTGGGAGCGTCAGCGCAGCATCATAATGAGCTTGTTCTTTAGACAAATTCAAAATTGTAAAATGGAAACACCATATTTTACATTCAAAAGAATGGACAAAAAAGTACGAATTCACTCTATAAACAGAACACGATATCTGCATAGAGAATTTCATCATTTATATTTTGAATTGAGAGAACGATCGGTTTTTCAACTATATGAGAATGTCCATTTCAATATTTGATTACTTACTTAGTAAGGTGCAAAGTAGGATGGACCAAATTAATATTCTAACATATTCAATAAGTAAAAATAATTAGAAAGCAATTAGAAAAACAATTAAATAATTAAAAACAGGGAGAATTAAAAACGACTCTAATTGATCATTTTCAATTGTGATACTTTTAGCAGGTATATAAAACCCATACAAAGAATTTCGAAAGCTCTCATATATTTACTCGTACTGTGAAAAAATACTTACTAGAAATACCTAGAATTGTAGCTATTTGTTCAAGTAGTCGATCACGTAGATTTCTATTTTTATATTGGGGCAATTTTGTATTCCACAGTGCAGATCTTGCCTGTATTTCGGCGATTAGCACCTCTGCGTCCTGAGACGCCATGACAACCACCGAACGCTAGAAATCTCGCTGAACAACAATTCCTATTGAACTCGACGCTCGGCGGACGCTAGCGCAACGCCGAACGCGACGCTTTCTGCCTAAACGGTCTAATTTAAGTTAAGGGAATTGGTTCCATTTCGTGTCGACACGGACGCGACGCGACGCTCGACGCTCTCAGCCTGAATGTACCTTAATAGTTGATATTAATATACCGTATGATCGAAAAAAAAAGAGTACAAAGTTGGCTTGGAAATGATAATCGATAACATACTGCTTTTTGAACAAAGTGTCACAATATGACATGGCCAGATCTATTGCTCTACATCACTTGACGTTTAAAGTTAGGCTACTGGTTAAAATCAAGGAAAATATACGCTTCAAAACTAAATCTTAAATAACTTAAAAACAATTTATTTTATAAATAACTTAAAACCAATTTTTTAATATTATAAGAACATGTATAGTCAAAAGGTAACGAATTGAAAAACATTTTCACTAGTGAAATAAAAAAAAGTGGGTTTCCATTTAAAAAAATGATTTATGATAATTTTTTCATCGCTCAATTCCATGACAGCTGCGATCATTATTATATGACATTGAAGAATTTAATTTTTGAACTAGATAACCACATGTTTTCTCTTTATGGCACAGTGGCGTCACTAAATTTGACATTTAGGCTATACACATATTTTTGACAGGCGTCAAAAATTTTTAAATTTTTTTTCTCGAAAACGGTTAATGTTAGATATAGTGTTTAATATCAAAATTCATAAACTTTTACAGAGAATTTAAGTATGTAATAAAAACGGGGACACCCATTTAAAATAAGAAAGTTGCTGTCAACTTTTGGTATTTCCGGAAGTGCCGCCATATTGAAAATATTTTTAATCGATAGATCTCGTTGTGAAACAATGATGTGGAAAAATCTCCGATTTAGATTTTGTAGTTCTCTAGAATTTTCTAATGCACGCTCAGCCTGGGACACCCTGTATACAGAACAGTGGTTATCCTAAAGATCGAGACACACTTACCTAGGTAGAATCCTAAGATGAAATAATTTAAAGGATGTTCTATGAAAGAAGAAAGTGGTCGTAACTGCGTTTGATCTATCAACACATAAACGTTAAATAGGATACTTGTCATGAATAACCCTTGATTTTTTCCATTTGTGGCAGTGAAATATACAGTGTGTACATAAAGTATGGAATAAATTCACACATTTTCTCAAACTCGGATTTTATTAAAAAAAATTGCTGGAACACGTCGATCTATTTTTTAAAAGGGGCACATTTTACGTATATTACCTTGCCTCTAGCTTCACCCCCCGAGCGGGGGTGAGTGGCACCCCTAGTTTTTGTAATTAAAAGGGGGGTCGAGTGATACCTTATTTTAAAGGTCCCCTTCTCCAGATTATATCCCTAGAGTTTGAAGTTGCTAGTGTCATTCATCTTTGTTAACATGACAGCTTGTCAAAATTCCTAATTTTATTAGTTTTGTCAAGCTGCCATATTAACAGAAATTACGGTAGCAACTTCAAACTTTGTTTATGATATAAGTAGGCATATTACCATATTACCGTGCCTGTAGCTTCACCCACCGAGTGGGGGTGAGTGGCACCCCTAGTTTTTGTAATGGGAAGGGGGGTCAAGTGATACTTTATTTTAAAGGTCTCTCGCTAGAGATTATAACCCTAGAGTTTGAAGTTGCTACAATAATTTCTGTTAATATGGCAGCTTGACATAACTAAGAATATTAGGAATTTTGACAGGCGGTCGTGTTAACAAAGATGACACTAGCAACTTCAAACTGTAGGACTATAATCTGCAGCGAGAGACCTTTAAAATAAGGTATCACTCGACCCCCCTTCCCATTACAAAAACTAGGGGTGCCACTCACCCCCACTCAGGGGGTGAAGCTGGAGGCAAGGTAATATGCCTAAAATGTGCCCCTTTTATAAAACAGATCGACGTGTTCGAGCATTTTTTTTAATAAAATCCCAGTTCAAGAAAACAAATTTATTCCATACTTTATGTACACACGTATAGACTTACTATATGATATAGACACTCTATAAAGTGCCATAATTTGTTTGTTAAATCAAAAAACTTTTTTTTAGGTATAACTCAGGCGGAAAGTGCTTCTCGCAAGTCCACACCAAGCATCTGACTGTAACAATAGACGCTTTTACGATTCATAACTCATTGTGGCAAGGGAAGAAAGTCAACCTGCCAAATAAAAAAGATATGGCGCTTGTTGTTTAATTAAATTTTAAGCACCCTCATTGTTATTTAGTAATTTAATCTTACTTCTTTCGTTGTTTCGTTTAACGCTTCTTTTTAAATATATATTTTACAATTGTGTAATAGTGAGCAACTTAGTGTCAGATATTACACACAAAAAATAATTGTCTAACTATCGCCTTCAGTAAATTTCTGTTAAATTGATATAGATTGAACTGAGATATTAGCGAGTATTATTTTTTTTATTCTATACTAAATGTTCTTTTTTCATTGTTTTTTTTTTTGTACATGTGCCTTTTGTATTTATATGTTCTAAGATTTGTTTAAATTAAGTTTTTTATTTGTGCCAACTGAACCGACAGGTATGTACGAGAAGGTATGTGCTTTTTTTGTTTAAAGTCATATAATGTCTGCAAAATTACTATGATTATATTAGTGTCATTCCAGTTATTGCTCTAGAATTAGATATTTGCAGGACTGTTTTGGTAAAGTGTTATCTTGAGATTGTTTAATATTATTTTTCAGCGTGTCAAAATCTCGACATGAAGCTTTACCAATAATTTTATAAAACACTAAAAATATTTTGCTTAATATATTTGTAAAAAAAGATTCTTTATATAATGGTGCACTAGCCTAAAAGGAAGAAGATTGCTTAAAAATGGATGTTATGGAATTGTGAGATAAATTTACAGTCTTAATTTTTACAGATAAAATCTTTTCCCCCCAAATTCTATAAAAAATCTTTTTTAAAGAAAATAATTGGTATACTTTTTACTTTACATATTAAATTGTAATTACAGCATTATACTAATCATTTAATATCTGTAAATATTATGTTTTTATAATTATATAAATATTTATTAATACACTTAAAACAAGACAAAATCTTTAAACAATAAAATTTAATAACCTACAGTTCTTGTTTGTATGTTACCAAGAAACTTAGTGCACCGAAGGATTAAAATTGTCGGCGAAGTGAATTGCGCTAGTTTCTGTTAACTTCCGGTATTTCTGGAAATTGACGTCACTTTACGTCCTCTAAAATCCATTTTAGGATGTGTTTGAGATTAGATCATATTGTTTAGAAAATTTAAAGTATGTTCCGAAATTAGTGATTGAGTGCGTTCCGATTTTATTAATCTTAAGTAGGTATGTTTGGATTTATTCATTTTGGCCGTATTTCAAACTATAATTACTAGAATTTTTTCTTATTAAAATTGGTATATTATGATCGAAAAAAACGGCGTCCAGTTGGCGGGGAAATGATCGATGACATTTCCCATATAAAATGACAGCGATCTTCATTTCATAGCCATCGCTGACGCCGTTTTTTCTCGATCATTCATTTTGAATAAGAAAACTAAAGAAGGAGCATAATGCTATCCATGTATTCATGCATGGTGGGCGGAAAAATGACTCTAGGGTGGGGATCCTTGACAGTTCTGTTTGACGATTCATTTGATACATTTGAATTTGATTTGAAATTTGGTGGATTTGTCAGTCTTTACGGAGCTTATTTTATGTTATTATTTATTCTACTACTGATAGTTGTATAAAGGTAGTAAATCTAGATGGAAATTGTGGCAGAACTTAAATTAACAGTGACACTATCGCGATTTATCGAAAAAGACTCTAAAATAGTTGGTTGTGTAGCGTGCGGTAGATTTCGGCAAAAATCGAGTGAAATAATGGAACAACTTTTCGCTAGTAAGTGACTATATAATATACATACGTGTAGTAAACCGATCATTTATGAAATTCACTTAAATTAACTAATTATATTTTTTCTTGCATTTTTGCTTTTATTTACTACTTGTCAAAGATTAGATGTCAAAGAATTTAGATACGTCAATTTGACTTACCTGCTTCAGTAGCGTATCGGATGTTTGTGTTAATAAATAATTATTAAAACTTATCTATTTTTATTATAATAATATGTTTTTATAACAATCTTAATAACTACCAACATTTATTCACAACGTAAAATAAAAAAAAATTATTGAGTCTACCCCACATCTACCCTATCACATAGTTTTCCATTTTTTTAAATAAAATTAGAACGGCACTGATAAACCGGAATTTAAGTCGGCCATATTTCAGTCCCATCGCGGTGGACCTAAGATTTTTGATATGCTCCTTCCTTAGTCTTCTTATTCAAAGGTTTTATAACATAAATATTAAGCTTTCTCTATGGATACAACTGAATAACGCAAAGCTGTTGCTAGGATATTCTAATAATTAATTTTGATTGTGTTTTTTAAGCATTATAAATGATCGTAAATAAAATAATATAAAATATAATATTAAGTTATAAAGTGTAATTGAAACCACTAATTTATTCCACTAGTTGCAAAGTTCTGAATGAAGCTATATGGATTTGAATCGCACCTTTAGCTGCCTTATTGTCGATTCGCTGGCCGAATTAGAGAAAATAAGTGTTTCGTGGGTTGGCTGCAGAAGGATTGATGTCTCCACCAATCCATCCAGTTGAGACATAAGAGCTCCAAAAAAATGGAAACAGACGCCACCTGGTGTCGCCTGGCAGTACTAGCTAAATTGAGGGAATTGGAGGGCGGGGCTTAAAAGAGGGAAATTTTTAAAAAATATTTTTATAAGGCTCACTGACTTACTGTTTAAAGTTAATAAACATATTTTTATTACTTTAATATAATTTAATGTATTAAAAATATGTCTAATAACTTTACACAGCAAATCAATGATATTATTAAAGACTTATTATTTTCAGAGAAAATTCATAGTAAATAAATTACACATTAGTAAACAATATCATTTATTTTTTAGAGCTGCGATTTATATTACAATAATATTGAAATATATATATTTTTTAACAATGAAAAAGAATATCCCGGAACCTGAAAAAGAAAGATGATCAATTAATGACTTAAATTAGTTCAAAATACATTTTGCAAATAACTAGTGAATTGGACAGATAAACATACTATTAAAAAGACATTTTAGTAGTATATTATCATCTATTTACTGATAATACATAAGTATATAATAGGTAAATAACATGCATAAGGCACTATGATACAACTACCTGTATCATGATAACACACTAACATCACAAAAAATATATGCTAATTTAAATTTCTTTAATGGTCTAATGAAACACTATCTAGCCTCAATGCATGCCATTCCAAAGGCAAAAAAAACTGTTATACCAAATAAATATAAGCTGAATAAAACATAAACCAAGCCAATGTGCATAAACAACCAAAAAATGCATCAAAAAATACTTTTATCAGATCATGCCCTTGGATATATTATGTATTTTATATATCGCACATCCCGTTCAAAAGTTTACTAACTCAAAATAGAGAATATAGAGAACATTGTCAGGAGAAGTAAAAGAAAATTTAAGTTAACGCAATATGCTCCTTTTTGCATATTAATGGCCAAATAATGTAATGTTGATTTAATAAAAATTTAACTGGCATCCTTCTGAGGTATAAATCAGATTAAAAGGACATTGTTTTTGTAATAATTGTTTGTTCTGTAAACATTTTTTGAAGACAATACAGTTTTGAACGGGCTGTGCGATATAAACAAGGATCTTACTATTATTTGAGGTTATAAAGTATTTAAATAATATAAAACATAATCAAAATCATTTTTCATCATAAATTATAGAGGTACTTACGTGTTTTGATATTATTATCAGGAAATAATACGTTTAATTAAACAGGTACGCTGCCAGGCAAGTTCTATCGGCGGTCTTTGCAAAGTTGAAATCTAAAAATACAAAAATACGTTTACATCTTAGTTGTATTTACGAATAAAGTATTTGTGTGTAATTTCTGACTTACCAGTTAACTGAATAATCGCATTAAATACATCCAAATGGTAATTTAATATTGTAAAAAAGCAAAATTGTTTTAAATCACTTGCCAGAACAGCCCGGTCAGCTTCTTTGTTGGCAAAATGGCCGCGGTATCATGATTTAAGCAATGTGAGTGACAAAGAAAGCCAATGCCTGGCAGATGTTGCTTTCTTTGTCGTTGGTCCTGGCACGTTTAAATTTGACTGTTGCCTGTTTTCCCATACAAGTGACACCCCCGTGGTGCAACCTAATGGACGAATTCGTGACAAGGCTGATTTGATTTCCCCTTATACCTCAAGTTCTTCTGCAGCTAACCTATAAAACACTTATTTTCTATAATTCGGCCAGCGAAGGCAAATAAGGCAGCTGAACGTCTCGCCGCACACTGGTTCATTTTTGAACTTTTCAGGCTAAACCTGTATAGCAATGAAAAGTAATGTATTTCTTTATAGGGAATCAAACCAGTGCATCGCAAGGAATCGCACCTTTAGCTGCCTTATATGCCTTCGCTGGCCGAATTAGAGAAAATAAGTGTTTCGTGGGTTGGCTGCAGAAGGATTGATGTCTCCACCAATCCATCCAGTTGAGACATAAGAGCTCCAACGCACTGACGGTCAGGTCGCAGCGGCTAGCCAACGACCCCCAATCAAATGATACAACGCACACTAACGTCCACGCCCAAACGGTCGCAGCTTGGTCGCTGCCATACGTATGGTCGCTGCAACTATTAAATCAAATGATAAAACGCGTCCTGGCCGTTAGCTGGTCGTTGCGACCTGGCCGTCAGTGCATTCGAGCGCTAAGGGGAAATCAAATCAGCCTGGTCACGAATTCGTCCATTAGGTTGCATATCTTCCCCAATTCTTTCAATCAACGGTAGTAGTATTAACATCATGTCAAAATATAAATCGACAGCGCTGTAAAACAAAACTCAAATCCGTATGTTACTGGAATGTTTCTTATTAAAACTATATTTATAATAGGCGCACATACCAATTTTAACTGAATAAGAAACATTCTGGTAATTATAAGTTGAAATACGGCCAAAATGAATAGAAGCCAAACATACCTACTTAAAATTAATAAAATCGGAACGCACTCAATCACTAATTTCGGAACAAAATTAAATTATTTAATGATTTAATAAATCAATTAAATTGTTTAATGATAGAAAATACGTATTTATCAGTAGTTTTGGCAACACTGTCTTCGGAAACAACTCACTCTGTCGACTGAAAGCAGAACTACGGTACAGTATTCTTTATCCGCAGCACTGTAAACGACTATCAGCGCGCAGCGGGGTAGAGCTGAACTAAATCTCGGGACAGGTTTTGTGCCACGAAATCGCCCATAATATTGTTCATATTCTTATTTCTTAAATCAACGCTACTACAGAAATAAAACGAATAACTTACCTGTGTATTTTAAACGTGGTGTGTGTGCTCATGGATAAATAAAAACATATAGAAATGACGTATTTATTCACAGTTGACAAAATAACTTAAATCTTTAGTGTACAGGTTTGGGGTTATAAATAAAATATTACTTAATTGTAAATCATCAGGTACAAAAAATGCTTTTATAAAAATTTCACGCGTTTGATTAAGTTTTATAATATAAAGTAAATATTTAAACGAAGATGAAAATTGTGTCCATCTAGCTTACATAAATACACTTGTCATTCACTTACATATAAATGTTTATTTACTATATACAGAAAGAACAGTAGGATATCCGTTTTAAAATAGTTTAAAATTTAGCTATATTTTGAAATATTATTCTACAAAAATATGTATAAAACATACTATATGCCCTTAAGCTATACAATTAAATGCCTTTTATTATTTCACACCGCGGAAACAATAAGACTTACAATTAATATTTTCAATAAGTAGGTTGACGAAAAGTATAACACCATTTTAGAATATGATATTAATCAGGAACATAACAGTCATGGTTTTACTTGAGATTAATGATCGGACTATGCCAATAAATAGTTAACAATGTATTTACAAAATCCTAAATATATATTTAAGTCTTTATTTACATTAAACAATAATTAACAAAATAA